CCTTGTAAAGTCCACCCTAATCTCTTAGAGTGATTCTGAGTTGCAAAGGATAATTAGCCAAAGCTCTCTTCTCCATTTCACAGAAGAGGATACAGAGGCCCAGAGAGGGTGACTGACCAGCCCGAGTTCACACAGCTGGTAGAGCCTGGACTTGTCCACTGTTTTTCTTTTGTCTTCAAGCTGTTACACGAGAGAAAGACCTCAAGGATTGGTGAGCAGATGGCTGGAATACCTGGACTAGAGGTCAGAGGAGCGGTCAAGTCTGGCTATGCAGGTCTGGAAGATGTCTCTCCTTACCCATGCAGTGCTTAAGCAAACCCTTTCACACCCATCCTCCCAAGCAACCCTGCCAAGCAGGAAGTCCCGGCCTCCTTTACTGCTGAGGAGCATGGAGACTTGGGAGAGGGGAAGTGACCTGGCTACTGGAGGCTACTGGCTACGAGGGTCTCTTCATGGTACCTGAGTTGTGAAAGGCTGGCTGGAGGATGAGTTCCTGGGGAGGGAGTCAGGGACGATGAGGGCAGCAAGCCTCAGCTAGGATGCTACTGCCTGGAAACTAAGTGATGAGCACCCGCAAGAATCGCCCAGGGAGCCAGTGAGATGCCGATCATTTTAATGAGTCCCCATGGGGGACAGAGTCTACGTGTGCCTTTTCCAAAGTGTGTCTCATTTCCTTGTTCATAGATGGGAGTATCCGGGCCTTAACAGAGAGCCCCTAGGGACCTCCGAATCCATCCCAAAAGACGGTGTTATTCATGCTGGGATTTCAGACCATGAGGCAAGGTGGGCATGAGAAGGTTGGCAGGGCGCTTGTCTTTATGTCGCGGCACTGAGAACCCCTGCCGCCTGCTTGTCCCATTTCCATCAGCCCATCCTGGCTCTGCATGGATGCTTCCAGACCCAATGCCTGCGGTTGTCCTTTAAATGGAGGCTCATGTCTTTGTCACACTCTGAGCTCATCCTTTGGTCTTTTGCTCTAATGAAGGTCACATCCCATTAAGGGGGAACTGTTCGCATGAGCTTCAACTCAGATTGGCTCTGCACCTCCTGTGTGTCTGCTGTCTGTTAGCGTTTCACATTCATCCTTGAATCTCATTGTTCTGAAGAGATTGCAAGAGTTTGGGGAGCAGGGAGCAGGGTGCAGGAGAATGAGACATCTAGGTTACTGCCAAACACGAGGCTTTGTTTGCTATTGTTTTGCTATTGATTTTTAACTTAATTACATGTGATCTGTGATACCAGTTTCCTGAAATTTATTGGGACTTGCTTAATGTCCTGTTGATACCTACATGATAATTTTTTGAGCTCTTTAGTGCGTGCTTGAATATAACATGTCGGGTGCAAGATTCTACATATGTAGTTTGTTTGGTATTATTTGTCTCTCTGGCTTGCTTCTATGTCTGTCTTGTAATTTTGGACTGTGAGCTCATGTTAACAAGGATTTTATCTGTGAGTATCCCATGTGGCCTTTATGGTGGTAATGTCCTTCCAGAGAGGCTTGCATTTGCCACTGCCACGTGGTCAGTGGGTGCAACCCATCCCACATTTCCTTTTCATATTAACTTCCAGACTTGGGAGTTCTAGGACCTGTAGGTAATGCAGATTCAAGCCTTAAATTTGTGTTAGGGAAGAGCTAGACTTATAATTTCTCAAGAGAGACTTAATTTTTATTTTTCCAACACAGCAAAAACGAGACAATGTCTTTGACTTCTTTTTGCATAAAGGCAATTTTTTTCCTGTTTGCTTTTGCATTAAGGATGTGGGTCCAGCTTTTTTCAGGTGTCTTGGTTCCAAATCTCTTTTGGCAAGGGCCCAAGTCCTTGTCTTCATGATGACAATACTATGCAGATGTTAAATCCAAGCTCCTTGGTTATCACAATCAACACAGGTCAGCCCCTTCCCACCAGCAGACACACCCTTGCAGAGCCGCCAGGGATCCGCAGCTTGCCTGTCACTCCGATTTTGGCTTCGTCTTTGTTTTGGACGCTGGGGATTTCTTTCCTATCTTTGAAGCTCAGTTGGGTATTTAAAAGAATGTTCGCCATATTTTACCTAGTATCGGTAAGTATTGTGTAGCAAGCAGGCTCTTCCACCATGTCCGAGACCTGGGTTCCACTCGTTCTGCCTCTGAGGGACCTTGGGGAGCCCCTGGCCCCACCCCCACCTCACCTGATTGGTTCATCCTTCCCAGCCACCTGCTTCACAACCACGTGTCCGGATGCCAGACACGCGACTGGGAGGCTCCCGGCGGCGCAGGGGAAGGAGATTCCAGTGGCCTCTGGAGCTAAGCACCGAAGTGCCTAGTGGTCCTTCCAGGATGTCTGGTGACCAGGCACCTCAGAGCTGACGTGCACCTGGGACAAAGGCAGTTCAGCGAACAGGATAGATTTCTCCAGCAGTGCCTGAATGCACAGGAAGTTGCTCTGAGCCCCAAATCCACGGTGAAAAGCCCTCCGGACCCTCTCCCTGACTCACACCCACGGTGTCCCACACCGCACTCACTTTCAAGTTCCCCAGCCTACAAACGGCACCAACACAACATTTTGCCTACACTGGACGCCCAGGGGTTTTTCAGAGGGTCCCTCTTGCAACACCGCAAGCCAGTCACAAAATCTTCAATATTCCAGATCTCTCCACTCTGGCCACACTACCTGTTGAACCCACTGCCTCAGCCCAGGTCCAAGCCCCTTATCATTTAACAGGGTTATTTTAAGGTAGTGGCCAGTGCCCCTCCTGTGCTCAGAGCACGAGTGAGTCCGAGAGGGCAGGGCCCCCCCCTGTGTACCAGGCGTCCTTGCATTTGGCCTCTCCAGCCAGAGGCCTTTTTGAATGGTGAACTTTCAGAAGCCAGCACCCTGAACAAAGAGGGTACAGAATGGGCTCGCAGGCCTGTGATCTGGCTGGAGGAGGGCTCGGCATTTGATGCAGCCACTCTGAGGCCCCTCTTCACTTCATGCACTGACAGGGACAGAAAAAACACTACACATTGCTTCTGAAAAACAACTAATTTTGCACATTGGTCACTTCATCCCATCCCAACCTCTACTCCTTCCCTTGCTGCGATCCTGAGCACCACCCCATGGCTGACCTGCCCCCCTGGAGCGGCCCAGGAATAGGGTAAGGGGCAGGGGCTAGGTCAGCATTGCACGGGGACTCATCTCGGATGGGGTGTTAGGCTCTCTGAGCCGAGCTGTCCTGACAGCTCTCACAAGCCCTCCCATCCACCTTAATAAGCTGCCATGGTCACACTTACACCTGTAACTAAGACACAGTCGTAGCTGCTTAGTAGTGGCATGACTTGTGATAAGATAGTGATCATAATGTCTGAGCACACCTGACTCACAAGGGCAGCCCCATATTCTCGGACTGAGAGAGCACGGCGCTGGGGAACAAGGAGTGCGGCCAGAGGAACGCCCTTGTCATAGCCGTGCACATTGGGCAAACGAACTGAGTGACTGCTTCAGCTCTGACCTTCCTGGCATGGCACTGACTCACCCCTCGAGCCCTCACTGGGCACTGAGGAGGGGTGGCAGGGGTGGGAGAGGTGGCTGGTAAAGTGCTCCCTGGTGCTTGGCATGTAGTAGGGTGCTGACAACTCACGGTTGCTGGGTTTTTAGTAGGTATTGAGGACTTTTGAAGAACAGAACATGGAGCCAGGTGGGGTGACGTGGCGGAGGCAAGGTAAGGGTGATACGGCAGGTGCCACCGAGGAGCACCTTCCCACCTACTCGTGCCCTCCTTTCCACCCGTCTGGCTTCCATGGCCCATGTCTAGGATGTTTGGACAGGGACTCGCCTGCATTTGTCTGCTGGCCCAGGGCCAACTGGATGAATTGCACTGGGACCCCAGGCCTGCTGCTCATCAGCTCCCAAGCCTCACTGACCCACTGTCATCAAGGGAGGAGGACCAAGCTTGGTGACAATCAGAGAAAAGATGAATGAAGGGCTTGCCCTGTGTCAAGTGCTGAGCTAGGAAATATGGGTAGAGTGGGGATGTCCCATCCTCAGGGACGGGGAGGGACAAGTCCACAGGCCTGTGCTCGGGGGAGTACTGAGGGGAGTGGGAGCCTCCCGCACTCCAGGTCTGCCAGGCTGAGGACTTGGGATGGTCTTGAGGCAGCCGGCTCCCTACAGGCCTGAGGCAGGGGCTGCCAGACCCAGTGGCTGGAGTGAGACAGGGGTGGTACAGGCAGGAACAGAGCCTGGCAGACCTGGGTGCCTTGCGAAGGAGAGTGTTCAGGATTGGTGGGGGATGCAGGGTGGGCCGATGCTCGAGAAGTGAGACACGGGGGATTTCATAAGGAGGTGGGGTGGTGAGCAAGGTGATTCAAGGGTGACACCTGTTTGAGGCCTGGTACATGGGTGGCCGTGGACATACTGACACACAGCTCACAGGCAGAGCCATGGGCCCTTAAGGAAGGTGTGGAGTTGGTCTGGGGCTGCTGCTTTGAACCCTGCGGAGCACCCTAAGTTGGGAGAGGGCTCCTCACGTCTGCTTGTCTAACAGAGAAGGCACACAGTGCCCAGAAAACAAATGTGTCTCTGAACCGTAAGGCAGGTCCTTGTTATCAACATTGTGTCCAATTGGGATGCACTGGAAAAGTGCCCAGGGCCCCCACCCTGGGCGGCTCTCTCCCAGGCTCTGTGCAGACAAGCTTGTTAGGGTTCCAGCCCCACCATCCCTGCTCCTGGGGGCAGGATCTGGGGAGCGGGCAGTGGCACGTGCCTGCCCAGAGGTGCTCTCCAGGTTCCAGGAAGTGGCAAGGACCTGCTTCCCGTGTAGGGGGTTCTGATCTCAGCTTTGCTCACTTACAGGGTGTGAGGCGGAGGGAGTGTGGGAGGTGGGGAGCGTGGGCCTGGCCAGCGTGCTGGCCTGCCACAGCTGGGGGGCAGGGAGCCCTCTCCACACGAGTAGCAGGAGAAGCAGGCCTGATGCTTTTGAAAGACCAGTCACAGCCAGAAGAAGTGAGACAGACACACACTCATCCCCACCGCTAGACCTTAGCTCCGGAATGTGACAATTTATTTGGGGGGTGAAAGCAGCTTTTCACCCCCACTTCCTGGCATTGATACAATATTGAAGAGCAGCAGAACAAAACGAACAAGACAAGAGTAACCGGCACAAACCCCCCTCCCCCAGCCCAGAAACAACCAAACCCAGAACAGAACCAAACCCACACCCAGATAAGCCGCCATCTCCACCTGCAACCTCTGCGAGAGCAGCTAGGGGCCTGGGAGACCCGCCCCACGCAGGGGCGGCGCCTCTGCTTCCGGTCTCCTGCCAACCCTACCAGCCTCCTGTCTTTAAGCACTGGAGGCAAAACGTTTAGCCAGCTGGGAGCTGGACGGTTGAACCACGGACAAAGGCAACGACACTTCATTTTTAAAATGAGAAAGAGAAAAAGGAGACAGCGTCCCTCCCCAAATATAGAGCTATATACGTATATTTTATATATATAGAATTCATTCGTGCACAATTCATTAAATGAACTTCTCAAAAATTAAAAAAAAATTATAAGATACATTTCTTTAGGCCTTTGTGTTTTTAAATTAAAACCAACAGAAAGACGTCTCCATCTCCACTCCACCCTACAGCAGGAGTAAGCCCAGACCTCGTTCCTTGTACCGTGGCCTCTTGTAGGGGGGTCCCTTATTAGACCACCGGTCCCCCCTTTGCCTAGCCAAAGGGCACCCACTCACTGTTGGAGTGGGGTGCTCACTCCTTTAAGGCAGGGCAGGACCCCACAGGCCTGGAAGATGGGGTCCTCAGTCCCCACCCAGCCTGTCCCCCTATTGATGGGCTCAGGCTGGGGAGACCCTCTCCTGGAGTTTTAGCCCCTATTTGTAGGTTTTCTGGATCTGAGAGGAGATGCAGATAAAGAAAAAACAAAACCTTTAAAACACTTTCCTTACCTTTTAAAAGTGATTCCTTAAACCATACAAGCCCCCAAGAAGATGCCTTGGGCTAGTGCACGGGAGCCCGAAAGTGGGACTGACTGGGCAGGGCTCCGCTGTCCGGCTGGGCCAGGGCCAAGTGCAAAAAACCCCCCAAAACAAAGAAAAAACAAGAAAACTCGAAGAAGTGGGGAAGGCGGTGAGTCTACACGGGTCCCCAGAGGCTGAAAAGGCTGCTGGCAGCCCAGCTCCCGAGCTAAGTTTCCTCCTCTGGGCTGACCCCTCGCTCAGGGCCGCCTGGCTTGGGGGTGGCCCACAGGCTTTCCGTGGTGCCAGGGCCTGGGTCCCACCTTTGAAAGGGGCTTTTCCCAAAATGCCAGCAAGGCTGGGCGCTTCACCCCAGCGAAGCAGCTTTGCCCCTCGGAGCCCATCTCCTCGTCTGTTGAAAGGGGTGACGCCTCCTGCTCTGCCCCACCTCACACTGAGGTGGGGACTAGGTCACCTCCTCCCAGAACAGAGCAAGCATGGAGCTCATTTTGACCCTCGCCCCTTTGCAAGGCGTGAATGAAAGGGGGCTGTGGGAGGCTGGAGGCCCCAGTGCCTGCGGCCCCAGCCAGACACTCCTCAGCAGCTGCCTGGACACCAGCAGAGCTTTACGAAGAGGCCTGGCCGCCCAATGCACCCATTTCACAGAAAGGCAAAATGAGGGTCAGGAAGGGGAATGAGGCAGTGATAGGTCCCAACTTCCCATCTCAAACCAGACACCAGATCTCACTGCTCCCTATGACACATGGGTAGGGAAGGGGTGGCACTGAAGGGGAGATCACTGGTGCCCTAACCATTATTAGACATGGAGATCAAGGCTTTGCAGAGTATTACACATATAAAAATAAAGCAAACCAGACTGCACTTCTGCGTGGTGATGAGGCAAATGGAGAAGCAGCAGGGGGAAGGGCCCGTGAGAGGCTGACCGTGGAAGCGAGTTGTGTGGGGGCTCGTGGGCCCCTGCTCAGAGCCACCCTGGGAGAGAGGCAAAGGAGGGTTCTGCCTGCTCTTGACCCTGAGCCCACTCAGGCCCCAGCACCGCAGGGCTCTGCATGCGCCGAGGTGGGGCTGCATGGCTGAGGACCAGGGGCAGCAGCCTGCCCACGGCAGAGAGAGGCAGGCATTCCCTCCTCCCCGTGGTGACACCCCACCACCCCTTAGGGGTGCCACCTAAGACTCTCCCGGAGCTCACAGCTCCTGTCTTCCTGAGGCCTGCATGCCCTCCCTGTCTAGCCAAGGAAGCTCAGGGGTATCACGGTCTCTGGGGGAATGGGGATGGAGATGCCCCCATGGGGTGGCGGTGACAGGAACCAAATGGTCCAACAAGCCGGCAAAGGAACGGAAGAGAGCAACAAAACCACCTGTACCTACTCCCCAGCCTTCTGGACAAAGTTACCAATGACGGGTCTCAGCAACGACCCCCACCTCCCCACGCCCCAGCTCCGTTTGCCTGGCCCCTGCAGCTTCTGGCTAGTTCCTTTGGGAAAAGCTGTCATCTTCCCCTTTGAGCAAGGACAGGTGTGGAGTCTGGGCCCAGGACAGGAGGGAGGGCAGTCGGCATGACCCCGGGCACCCGCCAGCCGGGCTGAGGACTCCATCTCCTGTCCTAACATTGCCACCTCACCTGTGCAATCACTGCGTTACTAGTTTTTCTTTAAATATCTCTTTCTCCCCCCCACCCCACCCCATAGGAATCCCACAGTATTTTTTTCTATTTCTTTTTTCTTTTTTTTCCTTTTTTTTTTTTTTTGCAAAACTAATTCTTTCAGTTTCCTGTCATAAAATCACCTCTGAAAACACAACTTCTTTACAAAAAAAGTCACGAATGACACAGACTCTCAGGAAAACACATTTCTATGGTCTCTGGAAACACCTGTAATTGGCACCCAGGTGGTCACTCACCTGGGGTGTGGAGTCAGGGGGGAAATCACCTCTAAGGAGAGGAGAAATACCAGCCCTTATTTGGGGGGAAGCCAATTGGCACTTGGACGGCCACAGAGCCAACACAAAGGGCAGGGTGGGGAGGGGTCCAGGAGTGCCAGCCCGCAAGCCCTGCAAGGGCCCTCGTTCTACAGCCTGGAGCAGGGAGGGAGGGGCAGGGGCCACGCCACAGCCCTGGGCAGGGAGGCTCAGAAGCAGGAGTCCTCCCACACTTAAGACAAAGACACTATTACCAATCAGGATTCCCTCTGCCGCCTCCTACCTTTCGTCATGCTGCTTCTGCGCTGAGACAACTACCGCTGCCCACACCTGGGAAAAGTGACCTCGAGCCACAGAGACACGCCATTCACGCCAAAGTAGGCCCAACAGAGTCCAGGGCTGACCAGTGGGGCTGCCTCCCCCACGCACCAGGCCCCTGGGCCTGCCACCCTCACTCTCCTGAAGAACACAGGCCCCTCTTTGGTGCCCTGCTTTGGCCTGCCTACCTGCCCAGTGCCTGGACTAAAACTGGGGCTTTGGTCTCTGCCACTGGCATGGATACCTTGGCTCCCTTGGCAACACAGAGAGAGAGAAGCTGCCCAGGGTGGCACAGGCCTCCTGCTGCGCCAAGCGGGCTGGGCTGTGAGGACACCTCTGCAGTCAGCAGGAGGAAGGGGGTGGGAGAAGCTGAGGACCCTCAGGAAGGCTTCCAGGCTGCCTCCTTGCCTCCAGACTCCCGGGAGGAAGGGGATGCTTGGGCCAGGGATCTCCCCTCTCTACCTCAGTCCCCGCCGCACCATGTCCTGCAGTGAAGACCTGACTAGTCGGGCTGACTGCCCACAGGAGAAGGGCATGGGGTGTGCAGTGCATGCCCCCTGCACCCCTGGAACGGAAGGGTTGGCCTGTGGCCTCCACAGTACACTCCTCAGACTTAGGTCTCAGGCCCAGCTGATGGCAGGGGAAGGTCCATGCCTTCCACCATGCTACCCCCCAGAAGTGCACACATGGATACATGTACAAACTGCCCGAGGGGCCACAGCTGCACATGCACAGCCCCAAGTTTCCACAGCAGGCGCTTGTAGCACCTTTGGTCCAAACAGGAAGGGCCTCTAGATGCTGGGAGGCTGTGGCAGAGTGAGGAGCTCCTGCCACTCCACCCACCTTCAAGACAGGGCTTGGGAAAGAGATGGGATGGTGCCTAAGGGACCTGCTTGGGTCTCTTCTGAAAGTAGCAGGGAGACCCATGCCTCTAGCCCTGCTCCCGCCTACCTCGCTGTTGTGGAGGGAGGGGCCGAGGGCGGCCTCGACCTCTGTCCAGGCCTTGCCCTCCTGCCCTCCTGCCCAGCCATCTGGAGGAAGGGAAAGGACAGTGCCCCCACTGGAAGGGGTCTCCTAAGGGGCCCCACAGCTGCTGGGGTAGCACCGAGAAGTCAGATGCTGTGCGTGAGAGCTGGAAGCAAGCTGGGGAAAGACCGTGTGGGATGTGGAGGGGGCAGCTGAACCCCAGGTTCTGGGGCTCCCTAGGAGCCTCCCAGCAGTCCCTACTGTGCATAGGCAGGGAGGAAGCTGGGACACAAGAGAGTATTTCCCAGTGCGCTTGCCCTACCCCCTGCCAACCCGTTCCGGGACTGCCCCTCCCACTGGGCTTCAGGGGGCTCCAGCTGCCCAGCCCCATCCCGGGGTCGACACCGAGCCATTTGAAAAAAGCAAAGCACAGGCAGAGGTGTCTGAGGGTGGGGGTGGGGGTGGGAGCAAGAGTATGACTTTGGGCAGGAGGGCCCCCCCAAAGCCCCCCTCCTTGGTGGAGCCCCCTCACTTGCTCACCCCACTGCTGCCACCAGCCCCTGCAGCACCTGCTACCCCAGCAGCCACCTTCTCGAAATCCTCAGGGTTGCAGAATTCCTTGATAGTGACTGTCAGGAGGTTGCTGGTGACATCGGTGACCACCACATTGGAGCAGGGTGACATCTCAGGGCGCCAGTCCCCAGCCTCAGGCTCGGAGGAGGCACTGGCAGGCTCAGGGGCTGTGGGAAGTGCCTGGCTGGTGGCAGCAGCGACCTCGGGAGGTGCCCTCTTGCTTGTGGCGGCCGCCTCGGGAGGGATGGACAGATCGAGCACCTCAGGCTCCCGCCAGTCGGGGGCAGGTGGGCTCATGGTCTCGGGGAGCAGCTTGGGGGGCACATCGTCGGGGTCAGAGGAGGACTGTGGTGCTGGTGAGGGGCAGCCAGAGGAGCTGGAGCTGCGGGCGTCATAGGGGGCAGCGGGGGCGGCCAGGAGCAGCCCTGGGCCCGGGGAGGCAGTGGCATCAGCCTTGCTGGCTGCTGGGGATGGCAGAGGGCTGGGCGGGGGCTTGTTGTACAGCGCGAAGGTGCCAAACTTCATGTGGCGGATCTGGGTGCGCAGGATGCTCTCGCTGAACTTCTTGCTCTTGCCGATGACGCGGTTCCTCGAGGGGACTTTGGGGCGGGCGAGGCTCCCGGCCCCCTGCCCAGCACCCCCTCCGCCCGTACCCTTGTCGATCACCTTCAGGTTCAGGATGATACGGTTCCGCTTGGGCTCCCGAGGCTTTACCTTACGATTGATGATGCGTACTGTCTCAGAGAAAGGCGAGATGGGTGGGCGTAGGCCAGGGCTGCCACCCTGGGGGTCCGGACGGGGCAGGGGGCGGCGGGACATGCGGTGGCAGCGGCGGATGTCCTTCTTGAGCCGGTGCACTGCTGCGCTGGAGTGGAGCTTGGGCGAGGCGGCACTGGCGCTCGGCTTGACGGAGAAATGCACGTCGCTGATGCGGAGGGCCTCTGCCTGGGCCCGTGCCTGCAGAGCAGAGGAAGGGCTGGACTGGGGCGCAGCTTCCCACCCGCCTGCTCTGAACTGCCAGCCACCCACGAGGTCAGTCTCACTAAACCATCATGAGAGTAACAGAACCAGGGGTGCTTGTGACCCCATCTTAGAGATAAGAGGAAACCGATTCACACAAGTGAAGCGAAGTACATGAGGTTGGAGGGCATGTCAGGCCCTGGCCCAGGCTCAACTCATTACCTTTGGAAGCTTGGCTGTGGACCCCCAGGACGGATGGGTCGGTGGCTGCCCTTGCTGACAGAGTGTCCACAATAGGGACACTGTCCAGAAGAGAACAGCCCTTTGTTCAGAAGCCTCTGACAAAACCCTGTTCTGTCACTCCTCCACGGACCAATTCCTGGTGACAGAAAGGAGAGGGAAGCCCCTCCAGGCTCCCTCCAGCCCTCACTTGCAGGGTCCCAAATGCACTGCGCTCTCTCCTTCTGCCTCCGCCACCTTCGACATGCCTTCCTGCCTGCTCATTGCCCCTGTGACAGACCCTCGGCCCCTCCTTTGTACTCCTGGCCCCCTGTGCTTCCCCTCTTGGGTCCGATATCTGTCTGCCTAGGGCCTGGCTCAGGGCCTGGGTCTGAGTGAGTTGGTGCCAAAGGATTCCAAAACCAGCACTTAAAGTCCGGGTTAGAATCCACCCCTGTTAGACACAGGTCTGGTAGGAATAGACTAAGAAGCAGGATTGGTCACTCCAAATCCTCTGCGCCAGTATGACCTAGGGGCAGGATGGCTGAGCAAAGGCCTGTGGGCAGTCAGAGGTAACTGTCCCAGGCCCCTGGCCCAGCTGCACTCCCAGGTGTGAACCCTATGCAGCCCCGGGGCTCTGTAGCAGCTCCCCTGCTACCTCACGGGAGATACGGGTTGTAGCAGGGCCCTCAGAGACCCTGTGTTCAGGGTAAGAGACTCTCACAGCCATACAAGCCATCCTCCATGGCCAGTCCTTCCTTCACTAAGAGTACTGATGAGTCACATGCCAGCTACTGGGGCTGTTAGTACAAACACAGTGTCTACCCCCCGGGGGGCTGTGCTCATGGGAAGCCACGTAACAGGCAATTAGGGTGAAGGATGATTCAATGCAGAAAAGGAAGCTTGGGCCTGGAGGAGCACAGCCCCAGTCCTGGAGGATAAGCCTAAGTAGGAGAGAACCCTGCTCTTTCCTGAGCTTGATGGGGCCCCAGGTGGCTGCAGAGACCCAGGTGGCCTGCGGAAGGACTACGACAAACAGAGGAGGCGGAGATCCCAGGGATGAGAGGATGCAGACGGCCAAGGGACTGAAAGCAACGGCTGGACGGAGGGCAGAGGTGGGTGATCTGTGTTCTGCAGACAGCCCAGCTCCTAGGGGGCAGCGGTTAGGCAGTGACAGCCTTGGTCCAGGTGGAGGACTGGTGGCTGAGAGGAAGTATTCCCATATTCAGTCTATAAGCTCCCTGAGAGTGGGATCTATGGTTTGGGGCCTCTCAACCTCTTACCCCAAAGTGCTGGATGCTTAACCACTAACTGGGATGTAACCTGTATGTCCCTCAGACAAGACTACATTGAATCTGGCCACAACCCCCAGAAGAGGTGTTTGCTGACTTACTTACTGAGTTAAAGTATCTTCGTTTAGAATGTGGGAGAAGCACAAGTAAGGCCACATGGCCCTCCTGGCCACACCGGAAGGCTCCTGGAGTTGCTTGGTCAACAATCTCTTCGGCCACCAGGTGGCAGCACACAAGGCCAGCCTTCCCAGGGTTCCAGGGCTGCCCCTCCCCTGGCTTCCCCGCCAAGCGGAGTCAGGGACTGGTTCCCTCACACCTCCTCCCAAAGGCTGGGGAAAGCCTTTTGCAGGTTTACCCCTGTAGAAGCTTAGGAAACCTCACCCTTTCTGATCCCCGCAGAGGGTGAGCATTTACTTGGTGTACAGCCTGAGCTCTGGGACCCCTGTAATTTTAGTTCTGCCAGTGTTCAGCAATGGACAATCCTGGGGAATGTCAAAGTGTGACAAGTCTCAGATCCAGGATGAAACCCCAGCGTGGTGGGCCTCCTGCGACCACCAGGTAAGAGTGTTATTTGCTTAGCACAGTGCCTGACACCAAGCAGGTACTCAAGGTACTAGATTTCTAAATTTTTTTTAAAAAGGGACTGGTTTACCCTTCCTTCTTTCCCCTTCCCAGGTTGAGAATTAAAAATGATTAACGACAGCCAACACGTTTACTGCACTCTGACTGGCTGACAGGCATGGCTTTGAAGGGTTGGCATGTATGACAGACACTATGGAAGGGGAGAGACCCGGACTCTACCACTCACTCTCTGTGACCACTGCAAGTTCTTTAACCTCTCCAGCCTCAGTTTTCCCATGTGTACAATGGAGATAATGCAATCTACCTCACAGGTGCTTATTCCCTTCTGAGTTGTTCCTAAGTCCTGAGTGCAATTTATTTGCCATACACACTGCCTCTCAGAGCAATGGGTTCAGACCAAGCTGAACCTCTATCACCCCTTGCAAATACCTTTATCACCCTCCTGCTGCCTGTTTTTAGGGTCCACATCAAGGTCCTCTCATCTACCTCTCCATCCTCTGCCCTACCAACTCTGCAGTCTTCATAGTTTTGTTTATGTGTGCACCTTGCCCCCTTAATCTGACGTGCACTGTCTGAGGGACCAGAGTGAAGAAAAAGAGATAGGATGAAGCCAGGAAGCTGGGGGTGAGACCTCAGGTAAGTCATTTCCCCTCTCTGGGCCTTGATTTTCTCATCTGTGAAATAGGGATAATACTCCCCACTTCATAGAGTTGTTGAGAGGATTAAGAAGATAATCCACGTAGGGGCTCGGCACTGTTAGGCCCATAGCCAGCTCAGGCACTAGAGCTTTGTGGCGGCGGGGGTGGGGGTGGGGGTCGGGGGGAATTTTTGTGAATCAACGCTCATGGTCATTACTTGCTTCACCGCTAGAGGGTGTAGCAGCTGCACTGACGGGCTGTCCACAGCCCGCCCACCCCGCAGCGGCTCCGCCCCATCCCGGTTAAGTAGCTTGGAGGGTTAAGGTCAGTCCATTATTCCCCTAAATGTGCATATGGGTCAGGAGTCACATAAATATGCAATTCTGGAAACCAACATTTCTTTTACTTCTGCTTTATGTCCAAAACAAACCTTTATACATACGCAGTCCTTTTTGGGGGGTGGGGGCATGTGGAGAGGCCCACCCTACCTTCCTTGAGTTTTGAGCCTTTTGGACAAACTGGAGATTCTGAGGTTCTGCATTCTGCATAGACTCTTCTCTGCAGAGTTCTCCCTGCCTTTCCTATGCCAACTGCCACAAAATCACAGGCTGTTGGGTGGGAAGGAGCCCTGTGACAACTTTAGTACTAATGGGGAGACTGTGGTTGCCCGGGGAGACCTGCCTGCAGCCTTGCCTGCTCCTCGGGTCATCTCACCTTTCTTTCCCAGACCGTTCTTTCTCACTGAAAACAAAATAAAACCCCCAAAACTCTAAGATGGCTTCCCCTGGAGCCAGGTTTCCCTCCCTTGCCAGGGCTCATATGTTATGCTTTCATTTCCCCACTCCCCATTCTCATTAGAATCTCCAGAAACAGCCAGGGGCGGGGGGAAACTGAGGCTCTGAGCTCTGTAGCAGCAGCCCAGACCAAGTGATAAACTCAAAGCAAGGTAATTGAAGGTCCGATTCAAGTTGGATGCCCCAGTGAGGCGGGAGGCTTGTGGAGCAAATCCTAAGATAGAGGGATGCTGGAGGCAGGTCAAGTGCCTCCCGGGTCCCTGCCATGAGGAAGACCACAATACAGCTGGCTCTACCCGCTCAAGGCTCGGGGAGATGAGGGCTCTCATCTGCAGACGGACTCCCTGCCATGCCCTTAGGTGGGCAGCCCCCACCTACCTCACCCCCCCTCCTGGAGCCCTGCTGGCCTCCCCAGACCCTGGTTTTGTCTGCGAGGTTTACCCCCCTCCCTCCCCACTCCCACCCCCTCCAACTCCCAGGCCCCTCCAGCTGGAGCTGGAGCTGGAAGTGGAGCTAGAGTTGGAGAGGCCTGCTGCCAGGGGCTCGCAAGCACCCCCTGCCCGGCTCGGGCCCCTCTGGAAAGGTCTGCCTGCGGCGGATCTGTCCCTCCCTCGCAGGCCCCGTGCTGAGCCAGGGCTAGGGGCCCGAGAGAGGGCTGCTGGGGCTTGGCCAGGTTACCTTCAGGAGGAAAGTTTTGGGTTTGGGTCCCCTCTTCTTGGGCCCATACAGCTCACGCTCCCTCTCCCTGCGGCCGAGAAACGCCGAAGGTTAGAAAGAGCCCCTTCCCGGGCCCCACTCCGCGCTCTGCTCCCCAGCTCTCCCGCTTCCCCGCGCGGCGCCCCAGCCCAGCCTCGGCCCGCCGCCCCTGCCAGCTTCCTAAACTCACTTCTGCTCGAAGGCAGCAATGAGCCGCGAGTCCAGGATGTTCTCCTCGGGCTCCCAAGTGCTGTACCTGCCGAGTCACACATGCACAAAATAAAAATGAAAACCTGAGAGGCAGAGGAACACGCAAGCGAGCAAACGTGTGCACCCCCCACGGGAAAAAAAAGGCCCGGGTGTCCGCTGCCTCCCCTCCCCCCTGCCTCCGGACCCCGCGACACTCACTTGATAGCCCACCCCTTCCATTTCACCAGGTACTCGATGCGTCCCTGAAAAAGAGAAGAGAAAAAGGGGGGAGTGGGGGCGGGGAGGATGCGGGGACGCCAGGAGGAGGCGGCGCGGGGGCGGACAGGGAGCCGGGGTTAGCGGTACCTCTTAGCCCCGACGGCCCGTCGACCCGGCACCGGCTGCTGGGTGAGGCGTCCCGTCCCGGGAGGCGGCTTACCTTTCGGATCCGCCGTTTGATGATGGATTCGGCCGCGAAGACCCGCTCGCCCACTGCAGACAGCTCCATCTTGCTCAGCAGCACCCACAGCCCATAATACTCCCTGCTCCCGCGGCCGGTGCTGCACCGCTCGCGCACGCGCCGCAGCGCACAGGCCCCGACGGGCGGGCGCGCGGCGGGGCGCGCGCTCGCGTTCCAGCTGCGAGAGTCACGTGACCCTCCAGGCAGTCTCGCCGTTACCAGGACTTCCTCCTCCCCGGGGGCGGTTGCTAGGGAAGGTGAGGGCCAGCGGGGCGGGGCCGCGCGCTAGCTCTTAAAGGGACCGTGACAGGCGGTGGGACTCGGACCGCGGCGTGGGGTGGATGCTTAGCTCGTGCGAAGCCGGGTTGGGCGCAGTGCAGTCTTACAAACACTTTATCACTCCTCTCTCCATCTTTCTGGCCCCCTATGGCTGGCAACTTCTGCGTTTATCCTCTGGGCCACGTCTCGCCCGGCCAGCAGGGAAAGGGCGATAGAGTCGATGCAGCCGTGCGCGCATCCTCTCAGCAGAAGTTTGCAAACAGTTAATTATGATACAGCAGAAATGCATTTGCAGTTGCCTTGCCAGGCCCTGCGGGAATTTCTTTAAAACACCAACGACTCACCCCCCCCTCTTTATTTATGTATTCGTGGGAGTGTGGTTTTGTAACCAGTTCCGATGAATTAAAACAAAAACGCCACCGCAGGGAGGTGGGGGGTGCGGTAAATGGAGCCGAGGAGGGCCGGGGTGATCCTGTGCATCCGTTCTTAGGCCCGGGTAGGGGCGGCACCTGCCTTCACCCAAGGGGGCCGAGTTTAGACTGCAGCCGGAACGGTTTGGCGGTGAGGGGAGGGAGAGAGGCCTCGGTGTGAGAATGGCACCCCCCACCCCAGACTGGGCACGAAGAGGGTCATCCTTGGGTCATTTGGCAAAAATCGCCTTTCGCGGTCACGTCTGTATGTTTTCTGATTCCCAGGCCCCTGTCCACGTCACTCTCCTGCTGCCTGCGGTTCCTCTGATGGTTCCGCCATTGCTTATGCGGAGACCAGATCCCGGTTTCCTATTTGGGCAGGGACTGGTAGACATGGGCTGTCCCAGAAAGGACACTAAGTAGCCATGACACACAAAAGACACCGTTTCTTTTATTTTGAATTATTTAAACTTTATTTTTTATTACACCAACCATCTTGTACACCTGTCCGCAATCTCCATCAAGCCATTGTCAACATCCTCACGAAATATGTTCTCTGCCTATGTAAAAACACACACACACATACATATACGGTATATATGTTTAATCTCTTTACAAAATGGAATCATGATTCACACTGTCTGGAATCACCCTTCTCAATGAAAAATGTGGAGCTCTTTTGTGCCCTTAAATACAGATTTTACTATCACTTTAGCAGCTGTGGTGGGGCTGAGATGGAGGTGGAGAGGATTGGGGGTGTGGTAAGGCTCAGGGTTATCCCTCGCTCCTATCACTTGTGTATTGGAAAAGAGTATTTTTACATTTCTGTGCCGTAACACCAACTCTTGAGATTTCAAATCAACCAAATCAAAATTTCCACTTCTCACCCCTGCATCTTTACAGATACGTCCAGTTGGGAGAAACCCCTGTAGTCCCTTAAAACCAACCTGCTCTTGAGAGTTAATTCTACTGGCCAGCCCAAAGTGGGCTTTGGTATAAGAATAGAGCTACCCTCCTGGTGTTGGCTGGGGATGGGCAGGTGAGCTGGGTGGATCTGAGTGTGTGTGTGTTTTCAGGCCAAGGGAGAGACAGGCAGCTGGATGAAGTGGGTGAGCAATCTGTCAGTACATTCAGCAGCTTTTTTGAGTCTTTTTAAGGCTTTGCGTTAAACAATCAGAAACAAAGGTGCCCCAGGCTTGAGGAACTCTCAGGTGAGAAAGGCACCTGGCATACAGTGTGAACCGTGCTAGAACAAAGATGTATTCATTTCCTATGCTACTGTAGCAAATTACCACAAACTCCATGGTTTACAACAACATGAATTTATAATCCTACAGTTCTTGAGGCCGTAAGACCCAAAGCAGTGTCAAATATCCTCAGAGATGGCTCCTTCTGGCAGCTCTAGGAGAGAATCTGTTCCTTGCCTCTTCCAGCTTCTAGCTGCTGGCCCCGCTTGGCTCACGGCTGCACCACTCCCGTCTGTACTTTGGCCTTCCCCTGACTCACGTCCTGTTTCCTTCTAATAAGGACCCTTGCAATTACACTAGGCCCACCCAAAAAAATAGAGGATAATCTCCCCATCTCAACCCCCTTACCTTAATCCTATCTGCAAAGACCCTTTCACCACAGGCTAACCTAGGAGAACAGCTAGCCCTTGGACAACATGGGTTTGAACTGTATGGGTCCACTTATACATGGATTTTTTGCAATAATAATATTGGACATTTTTTTTGAGATTTGTGGCAATTGGAAAAAACATTTGCATTTCTCTAGCTCACTTTATTGTAAAAAAACAATATTTGGTGCATATGCAAAATATGTGTTCTCAGTAAGACTTCTGGGCAACAGTAGGCTATTTGTAGTTACGATTTTGGGGAATCAAAAGTTATATACTTACTTTTGACTGCTTGGGGGGTTGGTATCCCTAATCTCCACACTGTTCAAGGGCATGTGAGGTATCATATAGGTTCTGGGGATTGGAATGTGGGCATCTTTGGGTGCGTGGGGTATTGTACAACCTACCACAAAAGGTATATTTGGATGCCTTTGGAGTCTAGATGTATTAGCCAGAATTCCCCAGAGAAACAGAATAGGATATGGAGAGAGCTATATAAGAGGAGATTTATTATAAGAATTGGCTAACACAGTTATGGAGGCCTGGGAGTTTGCCATTTTCAAATTGGAAGACCAGGAAAACTGGTGGCACCAGGCCTGAGAATCAGGGGCTGCTGGTGTCAGTCCCTGAGTCTAAAGGCCTGAGAACTAGGGACTCCAGTATCTGAAGGCAGGAAAAAGCAGACATACCAGCTAAAGAAAAGAGAGAACTCACCCTTTCTCTGCCTTTTTATTCTATTTGGGCCTTCAATGGATACTATAATGCCCCTCCACATTGGTGAGGGTACATCTCTGCTCAGTCTACTGAATCAAATGCTAGCCTCTTCCAGAAACACGCGCAGTGACACACCAGAAACGTTTACGAGCTATCTGGGTATCCCTTGGCCCAGTCAAACTGATGCATAACATTATTGTTCAGGCTGGAGAAGGGAGCAACCCACTGTCTGGAGGAGAGGAGCCTGGGAGGTGACATTTGATTTGGGGCTTGAGAGATGAAGAGGAATTTGCCTGCTAGTGAAGAATAAGTAAGCAATGCCAGGGAGAAGGGTCAGCTAGAGCAAGAGAAAGCCCCTGCTACCTCTAACAGATAATCTTTGGTCTCTGAGAGAAAGTTCCATCCACCTCAACCAGGCTGTCCTGAGATTCACTCCAACACCACAAGAGAAAACACCACAGGGCATTTCAGTCAGCCCGTGTTATGAAACACCAACATTTGGTGGCTAAAAACACAAGAACCCAGTTCTCATGGTTCTGTGGCTGGGCTCAGCTGGACCATTCTTTTACCTGGTCTTGCCTTGGGTCACTCATGTGGCTGCAGTGAGAAGCATGGCCAGGGTTGGCTCACAGGTCTGGGGGCTCCGTACTGAGTGTTGGGTGGGTCCCACTCTCCTTGTGACTTTCATCATTCAGCCATCTAGCCCAGGTTTCCTTACAGGCCTGCAGGAGCCATATGAGAAGGTGGAAAGCATTGTAGGGCCTCTTAAGAACTACCCTTGGAAGTGACATAATATCACTTCCACTGTATCCTATCGGTCAAAGGAGGCAGAAATCAGGGAGCCTTCAAGATTCTTGCCTCCTTGTTACCCTGACCCCCTGTACGAGTCCTGTGTAGTCTCCTACCCTGAGGCTATTTATGAGGGTAGGATTTATGGAGTGTAATGGGATTTTACTTCCATGAATAGGTTAATAGAAAAGGTAAAGGGATTTTTGCAGATGTAGTTAAGGTCCCTAATCAGTTGACATTGAGTTACTCAAAGGAGAGTCCTGTGATCTATTTATGCTCTTGCAGCACTTCTGATACCAAATGTATGGGTTTTCTCCTCTACAGACCCAATCAATTTTCCAAGTCTTCAGACACCAACTGAGTTAATTCAGTTCTGACACTAGTACTCAGAGTTAGCACAGGACCTTACAGTTTAAGGGCTCATTCTCACAAGCCTGCCCACTTCAGATGCCCATAGCAAGTCCAGGCTACTTGTACTTCTGACCAATTGGCTATAAATCAGGGGTTCCCGCTACCCTGCCTCAGTTTCAGTAATTTGCTACAACAGCTCACAGGACTCAGGGAAATGCTTATATTTCCCAGCTTATTATAAAGGATACAACTCAAGAAAAACCTAATGGAAGAGATGCACAAGGCAAAGTGTGCATAAGTGGGTGTGGATCTGGCATGCCCTCACCAGACATGCCACCTACCCGGCACCTCAGTGTGTTCACCGACCCAGAAGTTCATTGATCTTGTTGTACAAGTGTTTATAGACCTCCAAGTGTAGCCTCTGCCCCCCTTCTCAGAGGTCGGAGGTGGGGCTGAAAAATCCGATTCTCTAATCTCTTGGTCTTTCTGGTGACCAGCCTCATCCTGAAGGTACCCAGAGCCCACCAAGTCCCCATTAGCAGATACTCAGGGGTGGGTGAAAGCAGCTGTTATGAATAACAACAGATGCTCTTCTCACCCCTGTCACTCAGGAAGTTCCAACGGTTTCGGGAGATCTGTGCCAGGAACTCAGGAAGAAGAACCAGCATGCATTTCTTATTATATCATGATAGCTCACATTTATCCAGAGATGCCTTTAAAGAGGATCCAGGCCTATGCTGCAGGGAGGGATCTGAAGCAGCAGAAATGCTCTCCAGTAGCTCTTGAGGAAGCAAACAACCATGACGTGGGGAGGGCCAGGCAGCAGGGTGGAGGGCAGCCCCAGGCCCTGAGGGCCTCAGTCCTGTGGCCACAAGGAGCTGAGTTCTGTCAATAGCCAGTGAGCCTGGAGGAGGACCTGGCTTTCAGGTAGGAGCGCAGCCCTGCTGAGCCCTTGACAACAGCCCGAGACCCCGAGCAGAGGACCCGGTTAAACTCTTCCGGCACCT